CCAAAAGAACGAAGGGGAGGGGAGAGGGAAGAAGGAAGTTCTAACTCGGCCCGACCCACACACACAGCCCGTGAGCCTCTCCCGCACGAATACCTCCTCCACCCTCCCACCCCTCATATTTTGGCGTGACGTGTCCTGCCCGTCTGTTGTCTGTTTTTGTCCATGATATGCCTTTTCTAGGTGTCTGCTCAGTGCCCTGATCCTGAAAGCAGTGGAAACGCAGAAACCGGAATGCATCTCCGCACGCGCGCGAGTGTCAGCGCTACAGCAAACGCGCGCCGCCAGGGACCGGGTTTGCGCTTTTCGCCTAGCTCGTTTTTTTCCTGGAGTGCAGCTGGGTGCCTGAGTCGCCTCGCCTGCCACGCAACCTCTAACTTAAATCCTCCGGGGATAAAAATTGGGGGTGGGGCAGGGGGCGTTGCACAATGGAAAGAAACCCTCAGTCCGAAGCCCAGAAGGCGGGCTTGAGGGTGCAGGGAGGCTTGGCACTGAAGGTCTCCAGAGCAGCTGGTCCTGGTGGGACTCAAGCCTGGTGGAGGAGCTAGGAGGCGACTGCAGTGGAGTCTGAACACCTCCCAGCACTCGGAGCACTCAATCGCCCTCTCTCGGGTTGTCTTCCTGGAGGGCTCCCTCCCTCTCTGTTGGCATCCCAAGGTCTGGTGGCATGCCTGCTCCTGGACACCGGCGAAGCTGTTTGACTTGCCTGCCTGGGGCTGCCCCAGGAGGTCCGCATATAGGTTTCTCCCCCACAAAATCTGCTGTGCAGGGTGGGAGCGCAGGCCCACCTCCACCAATCCTTCTCCCTGGGCTTTGGCCTCCAGGAGCCCTACTCAGGCAGTCTCATATTCATGAATTAGGCCTTCACCCCCAGCTCTTGCTGGCATTGGTGGTAGTCCATGGTAGAGGGCACCGATGGGGTATACAAAATTGACCGACTGCGGCACTTTCCCGTCGCAGGAGTTCTGTCCATACCTGAAAGAGAAGAAATGCCATTCATCTTTCCCCAAAACAACCCAACTTACTTAGCACTCACCACTCTGAGCAATTAATAACCATTTTTCCCTGATTTTTGCTTCTTTCTTTTTGTCCGAGCCTGGGAAACGCACTGTTTAGACTTTGTCCGAGTTTCACGTGGGATGTCTCAATGTTGGTTGGAACAGAATTGGACCAAAAATGTTTTGACTGGCTCATTATGACAAGACCATCTGTCATGCCTGGATAGATTGATAGCACCCAAGATAATGCAAACACCACAAGGGAAAACCCAAGGCTCTGAGGACACCTCGGCTAACAAGGCGGTCTCCGCAGGCTTTGACCGATCCTGTGGGGAGGAGAGAATGAAGTTCCAGGCCTGTTTCAATTAATCTGCTCACAGAACTGCTGAGGAGTAGCAATTGGGCTGAAAAGGGAGCAATCTCACACTCTCTGGGTTCGTTGCTGAGAAACCAGGACACTTCTCCGGCACTTGGTCCTCAGGACTGGAAGTGCCCCCTAATCCCTACTTGCCTCCTGCCCTCTCTTCACTAGAAAATGTCAAGATTTTAAGATGTTACAGCTACTGCTTCGGAGGACTCTGTCGCCTACACTCTGAGAAGTGGGAAGGAAGAGTTCCCTGTAATAGGATTACAGGACCAGTCCATGAGAGCTTCGTGTGTGCCAGGAAGGGTGCTGTGTGGAGAAGGCATTACCATTACCCCATATTACAGATGCGGACCACTGAGGCTCGAATAAGGTCACTCAATTAATGAGTAATGGAGGTGAATTCAGGTATCAGTGAGGTGTCAAGAGCATCTCCTGTCCACCAAGTCAAGCCTCTCTACTCACACCATCCAGACTGACACCAGAGTGGGCGTCAGAGGGGTGGGTGCCTTGAGAGAGATTTGGCTCCCCTTGGTTCTGGTGAAGAAAGAAGAGCAGGTAAGGAGAGCCTTCTCTAGCTAAGTCTACAAGTGGTGTACCTGATCTGTGGGATTCCAGCTCCCCCTAGCCCTGCACCATAGGCCTGGGCACAGAACCTCATGAAGGAGGCAGTTTGAAGCAGGCTGGAAAGGCTCAGAAGGCCTGGGAGCAAACCAAAACATCTTCGAGGGGAATACATCAGAATTCTGGGCATCCTCTGTGCCTCCGCAGTGGGCCCAGGGCATGAGCCAGCCCCTGCTCCCACTTCTGCACATAGGAGGACCGCAGGGCTGGCTGGGGCAGGAGGCACGAGAGCCCCCCCACCTGTGCACCCTCTGAGCGGGTATAAAGCAGGACCACTGGCCCTATGTGCACTGCAAGGGTCGCTTCCCTCTCACACAACTGACCCTGGGTCAGCTTAGTCATGGTCACCTGGGTGCCCTGGGGGAGGGGGGTGTTTAGAAAGTGGTCCCACGGAACACCTCCTTCTCACTGTTACTTAGAAGACCTCAGAAACAAATCACTTCGACCACTTAGGAAGCAATCAAACCTTTATAAAAATCCATCGTTCCCAAATCAATGAGTGAATATTTGCAGGGAATTTGTTCCAGAGGAATAAATAAGGAGCGTGAGTGTATTAAGTGCAAATGGGGGTGGGGGGGGACACAGTGGTGTTTTTCTTCATTGATTAATGACCTCTAAAATAAAACAAGTGAGAAGAGGAGTCAGGATCAATAAATTAACCACCCAAATTCATCATTTTCTTGAACATTTTTTCCCCCTGAAAATTATCCTTAGGAAGCCCATTGTAGCCTTAACTGGGGGGGGGGGGGAGAATGGAGCAAGCAGCCAGAGTAGGGAAGGAGTGGCAGGATGGGCAGGAAAACAGGAAGAGGAATCTGTCTGAGAGACCCTCTATCTGATTTCGTTTGACATACAATTAAAAAGTTTGCCTTTCATATTAATTATTTCTTCCGGATGGGGGAGGGGAACAAATGGTAGGTTGCCTTTGACAGGACTCCAATAAAGGATTCAGCATCTCTCCTCTCTGCCCTGGGTGCTCCCACTCCTAGGTTTAAGGTCATGGGTGGCTGAGTTAATAATTCATTAATATAGACATTTATTCAGAAGGCTTCTCTGAGATCACTCTCCCTGCCTCCTCCCAGAGATTTATTTTCCTGTGAAATGGATGAGGGGGGGGTGTCAGGCTGCAGGTGAAAGGAGAGGGGAAGAAGAAACAGAAAAATGAAGAGAGAGGCTGTTACAGCTTGGAGTCTTTGCTGAGCCACATTAGCAGACAGGTCCCTTTAGCCTGCAACCAGAACTTGATTAAAAATGTGGCATCCAAACAGCACAGCACCTCTGGTCTCTGGTGTCCTTTCCCCAGCTTCTATGCCTGTTCATTCACTTGTTCAGAAATCTCCTTTCCTCCAAGTTTTAAGATCTGGGGAAAACCATCTAACTGAGGACTTTCAGCCTTTGAATACAGTCAAAGCAAGAAAACTCTGGAAAAAGAGCACCACCACCCCCACCACCACCCCCATCCTCACAAGGGTCCCAAAGGAGAGATTTGTAATTTGCCCAGACCTGGAATATAAAGGAACTTCTTTACCTACGGATACAGGCAACTTCTGGTGGACACTCTACCCCACAGAAATAGGACCATAGGAATATTATAAAACCAACCCAAAGGCGGTGGTCCTCCCTTTTACATTCTAGAGGGGCTAGAGACTGAAAGGAATCAGAAGAGGAGTGAACTTTCAGATGGTAATAAGGGCTGTGGAAAGCAATCGCAATCGAGAAAGGATGAAATGCAGAGAGTGCACATTGGGGGACCTTGCTGTTATCATCCATACAGTGCTTAGGGAAGGCCTCTCTTAGAAGGTGAAATTTGAATAGGGCCTTAAAGCAAGAAGATGCCAGAGTGGGGCATTCCCTGCCCCAACCTTGACCAGTGACCAAAGCAATGAAAGGGCCTCCCCTGAAGAACTGTCAGAGCCCCGGGTAAGGAGTCTGCCTTCCCAGCTACCAGCCACCTTGCTTCCCTTCAGATGCTGTGAGCTCCTCCATAGCCTTTCTGTACATCTATGCACTGTTCACAACAGTTGGAGTTGCCTCTGTTGCTGGTGACTTAGACCCAGTCACAGTGACCCCCCCACCCCAGCCTG